GTATTTTATAAAATACTAGTCAGCTAAAACATAGGCAAGACGAGTTACTTTGTAAAGACTAAAGGTCAGTTTTATATTATTGGATATGGTAACATGAAAGCGTGTGTGTCACGTCATTGTAACTTCTGTACTGTTAGCCAGGCATGGCTGAAAGGTCAATATAAATAAATGTATAATGTTATGAGATTTAAGCTAGTTAGTCTAAACATTTATGTTATAATTTATTGTCATTCTAGAATGAGAGAGGCATGATTTATGTTTATTTTCTAATTTTTATGGTGGTTACAAGATTGGTCAAATCTACCAAACCCTTGCAGAGATTCATAACTGAAAATAACAAAGTTTTTCTTTAGAAACGTTTGATAACTATCTGGATATTATAAAGATTTCGCATATGATATTTGAAAATTTTCTGATTCATAAAAGTACTTCTAATCTTAAAATGAAAAGTATTTTGCATGTTGGATAGGCAAGATGCAAAAAGAAAAAAAAAGGAATGAAAAAAACATTGTTTAACAAACCTTAAGACTTAATATAAAAAAATTATTTTGCATATGAAAGCATTGTTAACAAATTTTGTTAACATGCAATTACTAATTTAAAAGTTATAGCATGAAAACTATAACAAACACAAAATGGTTACGGGACAGAGCCCGTGCTGAACGAGTTTCTAACATTCAATATGTTGACTTTTCACTTGTTGAAACAGGTTCTAATGGTTATGTGTTGACTGATCAAACTTGTTGAAAAATGTTCTAGCAATTAATCTGTTGACTAATCAAAGTTAATTAAATATATTCTAGCAGTTAATCTGTTGACTAATCAAAGTTAATTAAATATATTCTAGCAATTATTCTGTTGACTAATCAAAGTTAATGAAATATATTCTAGCAGTTAATCAGTTGACTGATCAAACTTGGTGAAAAATGTTCTAATAGTTTGTGTTGATTAGTCAATCTCTTAGATGGATTATATGTTATTGATCAACTCTGTTGAAGTATATATGTCAACATAGCCATTCAGACGTTGAATATAGGAGTAGATACAGCATAAAATGTAATGTTAACTGGTTTATCTTTTGTCATCTGAACATTGGAGGTGCACGTTTTACTTTTTTATAGAGAATTAGTCTGAACTTGGAATCTCGTACTGATCAATTCCCTAATTACTTTTAATAATAACTTTTTCATGTCTAACATTTTTTTACTACAATAGATTGATTCTATATGAAAGCAAGCATATAATTAGTTGTATTTAACCCACTGCAAAGGAATAGCTGAAAAACATCAATTTTGAATAGTTAGAAATGGAAAGTATTGAAGTGGTTCTATGATCATCAAGTGTGTCACACATGTTGCTTTGATTGTGCTTCTACCACAGCAAAGTGGGTCATATTGATTTACCCTTGCCTATCTGTCAATCCTGATTTTGTTGAGATATCAAGATTATATGGATGGATTTTCACCAAACTTGTACAAGAGGTACTACATACAAAGTTCTGGACCTGGTTGACTTTTGAAGGTCAAACAGGTATTACATAGACCTGATTAACTTTTGAAGGTCAAAAGGTTACTGGTACATAGGTAATCTTCCCCAAACTTGTGGACTTTATATTTCAATACAAACTTATTAAACAGATACTACCTATACCTGATTAACTTTTGAAGGTCAAAAGGTTACTGGTACATAGGTAATCTTCCCCAAACTTGTGGACTTTATATTTCAATACAAACTTATTAAACAGATACTACGTATACCTGATTAACTTTTGAGGGTGAAATGTCAAGGGAATCAGTTTGGGGGACTCAAACATATAGAATAACATTAGTTGGGGGGAGGCATAGTTGTTTCTTAAACACAATTTGCATTGCTTTATTTTGACATTGTGATTGGTGTCTTCTTTAGTGTATATCTGCCTTCTGTAGGGTGATAGAAATACTAGAGGCCAAACTACTGGAGTTTATCTTATGACAGTTACCCACCCACCTAGGAAGATAAATATGTATCGTGTGTATGATCATATAAGCCTCCTCCTTTTTTTTAAAGAGGAATTTGACCAAGACCAAATTGTTAACCTATTTTTTCATGTAGTTTTAAGGACTAGTTGACTTTCTACATAATTTGTATATGTGTGCATGTAATGTTACATGTTTGTTTATGAATTGCAATTATGTAAAAAAATTATATACAAAACATTATGGGGGACTTCTGTAATGAATTAAATATATGAAATGTATTATCCTCTTGATAAATTTAAATGGCAATACAATATATACTTTTATTATTAAATTTGATTTTTGTAGGCTTTGATTGGATAACCTCAACAAATCTTTTCCATGTTGTTTTGTTCCAATTGGATGTTATGTTAAGTTCACGAAATTTCCTATTCACATTTGTTGTGTGGTGAATTTACTAAATTACCTAGAAAGGTATATTCTTTTATTCATATAAGGATTTTTTTTATCATGCAGCCTTCACAAATCAAGCCTAGTCAAGAAAACTTGTATCAGGATATTTTCTAAAGATTCATATTTTTATAGATTAGTCTAACTATTCTGTATGCTTATGGAACTCGTGCTTGAAATTCAGATTGAGAAATGACAAAAAGAGTCGTGATGCAAATGATATAGCATATATAAGTTGTAAAGCTAATGTTTCTTAAAAACTATCAGGACATTTTTTAATATATCTTCTTATTAACAAAGGTACAAAGTGAATACCACCTTAAGTATCTAATTTATTGACATAACAATGTCAAAAGACTGAAATAGTTTAATTATTTGTATTCCTCTAGATGGCAGCACTAATAATTCCAGGAAATGGAGATTCTGGAACTCAGATTACCAGTGAGGTTATTAAAAAAACTATAGAATCCCTGGAGGATCCTCTGCAGAAGGTAATGTTTGGGTGGATCTTTGATTTCTTGTTTTGTTTTATGGTTAACCCTAACAGGTTGTTTATATTGGAAATCTTAGCTTACTTCAGTGCAGCAGTAATGTTTTTCTTCTTGTGTATTAAGGATTTTATTCGAAGATGTCTCAGTCAAAACCCAGCTGAACGACCAAAAGCGAGAGAACTTCTCTTCCATCCTTTAATATTTGAAGTACATTCACTGTGTCTCCTTACGGCCAACACTATCGTCAACCATGCTTGTAAGTAGAGTCTACACACCTGAAGTTTCAATCAGAAATGACATGTTCTTCAAAATCTCCGGATGTCTGGAGTAGAAGAAAGTTACTGAAGAGAAAGAGTTAAAAATGGTATAATCTTAAAATGGTTGTTTATTGTGAAGATATACTTCAATACCAGATTACCCTAGTTGTAGGCTTCCATTTGTTAACCAATACTTAATGTATCATATAATATGTTCACCTAAGAAATAAGACGAAACTTGACTGCTTTACCTCTGTTTGTTTTTAATTAGCTTTCCAGCCAGATCAGCTAACTGATGAAGCCTTTAAGTCAAGATGTAGTAAGAACAATGTAATTGGGGAGATCCAACACAAGGATGGAAGACCTGGAGTCATCTTTTGTCAGAGTGATGCTCCAAAGTTAGAGCTTGAAAAGTTGTTGGAAGATGTAAGGTAAGAGTTATTCTGCTGATTATAACTTGCAAACTTAACTTGTTCCCCACCCTCACACTAATTTTCTATGTTTTTGACATAGATAAAACATTTAGAATATCAGGCTTATGAGTTGTGTCTTTTGATGTATGTATCAATGAATCATGTATGCCAGTCTTGTGTTTGCTACATACAGAGAACATGATTTACTATCATGTAATTTGTCTTTACTGAGATTTAGTCATTGTTAGTTCTGTTAAAGGTAGAGTTAATTAGTCTGTGTTAGGTTTTCATTGAGGACTGTTTACGAATACATATTAACAAACGTTTCTTATTTCTAGGACAATATGTAAAATACACCTTTTTTCTTAAGGAAACTAATAATGAATAAAAAATAATTAGTTCAGGAACCAAATACAGGTATCTCAAACTTTAACTCTAGAATCATGGCTCATTGTTGCTTAAATTAATGATTGTTAGTTGGATAAAAGTGTTGAAGCAGATTTTTCAGTCCTTACTTTAACAATGAGTGTTATCTCACATATGTCAGAAGAACAAATAGATCACATAAAAGCAAATTACAATTTATAAAACATGTAAGAAAGATTAAAGAATTTTATAGGTTATTATGTTTTATTATTATTATTATGCCCTCACTGTGAAGCTAAGTAGGGCATCATGGTTTGTCCCTGTTTATCCATTCATTCCAATCTTGTGGACAGAATATCTCAAGATTGGATGGATGAATTTTAACCAAACTTACACAATGGATACTAAATACAAAGTTCTAGACCTTATTAACTTTTGAAGGTCCATTTCAAAAGGTCACTGGTACATAGAAAATCCATCTCAATCTTGTGGGCATATCTGAAGATTTTATGGATGTATTTTGACTAGACTTATATAACAAGTATTGCATCATCAAATTGGGGGATATACATGTGTTTGTCTGTCTGGAACTTTCCTCAATCAAACACAACAAATCTCATATCGTTAGAAATACCTTTGTCTGAGGAGTCCGGATTGCATATTGGCTTTTTCATTTAAAATCACCTTACCTGTTTTTTGCTTAGTCAAAATTTTTAATGAAATGAGTATACTACACCAGGGTATGATGTCATTGTCATCATGTGGCGACTGGCTTCAATTTCAACTTTAGTTTTTTTATCTGTGTGTAATTTCCAAAAAAAAATAACATTACAATAAACACAATTGCTATGGGCTTTATCGATTTATATAGATCTAAAATATGTATCCACAGTTCGTTCAAAACCATAAACTTATCACTTTGTGAATACGCATTCAGACCTTTCTACATGTTCAGCTAAGCTTACCTTCATTACAACGCATTCAGACCTTTCTACATGTTCAGCTAAGCTTACCTTCATTACAACGCATTCAGACCTTTCTACATGTTCAGCTAAGCTTACCTTCATTACAACGCATTCAGACCTTTCTACATGTTCAGCTAAGCTTACCTTCTTTACAACTTTACATTTACTTTACTTTGCAGTAATTTAGCTTTGATTCATTTCATAGAATGATGTAAACATCTTTTAGCTACTTTTTTAGTACATGTTTCATTCTTTGTTTCTATGAGTTTCTTTGTTTCAACTCGTAAAACCTTGTCGTAAACTGAACGCTCATAACTGTTTCATACTCTGTACACTATTATAAATACCATTACTATACTTTTTTGTCTACTTTACGTGTAGTTCTATTAAGTAAAGTTTATATGTATGTGATTTTTTTTTGTCCGACCTCATAAAATATTTTGAAATAGATCAGGATTTATCAATCTAACACAAAATGCCTTCAAGAAAGCATAGCTTAAATGCCATGCACCGTACATAAAAATGATAGAATAAGGAGAATTCAAGCGAAGAGCGTGAAAACTACCACAAATGTTTTTCAGTTCATGGATAGTACCATATAACATTAGTGGGAGGGTATAAGGTGTTTCATAAATGCAACTTGCACTTTCAATGTTGGTTTATGTTAAAGCTATAAAGACCAGGTAAATGTGAATCTTGATAGACCCCCAACACAAAGAACAAATAGAATTACTTGATTATAAATATCTGTGAGTTTTATGTACATACTATTTTATTTTTATTTCTTATAGTTTTTTGATTCCTTAATAGTCATCATTATTAAATCTAAAATGAAATAAATATTAAAAAGCAATCAGCAAATAATTATGTTTTGTTAAAACCTGTTTTAATATTATGTTTAAAAGCTATTTTTGATGAAATTGGAATTTTCTGGTTTTAAAGTTGTTGAACTCTTCCATTGTCATGGGCAGGTACTTCTAGAGCACTGTTGCATTAGTTTGGAATTTTGTAAGAAAGAGTATGACCCTTCAAACTTCACGTAGTTTTCCAGTTTTAAGTTCCTGATAAGTAATAAAGTATTAAGGCATGACTTTTTATTTTATAAAAAATAAACCTGTCACTAAGAGAGTTGTCTATCTATAGATGTGGGAGTGTAACAATTGTTTGAGTTTTGATATGTCCTTATTAAGCTGTCATATTTTCCCTTTCATGTCTAGGAACGGTATATACCCACTTACTGCCTTTGCTATGCCACAGCCTCCTGTAGTTAGGCCACGACCCTGCCCTCCTGCTGCCTCGGAATCAGTGAAATCTTCTTCTCCTGAAGTAGCAGAAGTTGAAACTCGGCGTATAGTAACTTTGATGTGTAACATGAAGCCACAAGAGAGTGGGCAAAACTTACTAGTAAGTGTATATAATTGTACTCTGTTTATACTTGTACCACTGATTCAAGAAGATGCTTAAATCTACATACACTCTGGACGTATTTTCTTACTTTGGAGCTTGACATTAGTCAGTCATACATAAAAAATAATCTACATTTGGAAATCATTTCAGATGTGTTGCATTTCAAAACAGATTTGGAAACATAGATTTTTTATTTTTTTAGTTTCAGTGTTCATTAAGAAGGAGTTAATGAATAGAAAAGATACATACATCTTGTAAATTTGTAAATGGTTATGTTGTGAGATGTTCAACAGATTGAGAACATTATATTAAAATGATTTTGGAGCCCTGCCACATTGTTATTCACTATTCACATTGTCACATTCGGTCATGTTCTATCTGTGAACTGTGCATTTTGACAATAGCCCTGCACCATAGTTTCATTGCAAAGGACTCCACTGTAAGACTGTGACTTCCAAAACACACTACTCTTCCCTGTAGAATTTTCATAATTCATCTAGTATACAAAAATTATGGTTTCCCAGTCTCCTCTTCAAAAGTCAAATAACATCAGTCCTCCCTACATGCATTCTATAATACATCTAGTATATAAGGATGATGATTTCCCATACCCCACTTCAATAGACTGATTAGGCAGAAATCCATAGGCACTGCATCCAGAAGCTTGACTGGAATAGCAAGAAAAATATTTCATTTTCCAACTGCCAGAGTTATGTGACAGATAAATGGATATATCTTTGAAGTAAGTTGTGTTTATGTGACATATTTAGTTTTCCAGACGGAGATCCTTCTGTATTACATTGCATACTGTTGCCTGGGGCACATGGATGGCTTTTGCCACTAACCTTTGTGTTTGTGGATTCTCACATGTGACAAGATGCCACACTTTACTTATTCTGGGGTATAACTTGTTGATCTATATTCCTTTGTTCTCCATTGCTAGAGATATCCATGTCTTGGAAATTCCAAATCCTTGATATAAATACATCTTTATTATCTAAGTGTATGAATATTTTGTGTTCTGAAAGGGTTGTTACACATCCTTCCCATTTTAGACGGCACCTCACTACCTACAAAATTCCAAACAGTCTCAAAATGTAGTTCTGATAAATTCCATTCCATTTCAGCTTTATATCAGCTGTGGCTGTCACATGAATTACTAGTTTATATATTCAAAATTGATTCAGTATATGGGCAGGGTCAAAGTGCATGTGTAACAACCTTTTTACAGAGTTATATTCAAAATGTAAATTACTTTATTATAAGTGTATGTCATTAAACTTGACATAAAAATGTAGTTTATACATCACATTTTAATACAAGTTTAATTTTCTTCTGTATATGGGCTTGGTCATTAAGACCAACCTTGTAATCACAATGAAGCTATACTACAACTTTTAAGGTAGTAAGTTTTCTTCACAAAATTTGCCGAGCTTCTAGTAAACATTATAAATGTGTTGCACACAAAAAAAACAAACTAGATATTAATATTAATATTTAATAAAGTATTTTTTGCAAGAGACTTATCTGTGAAATTATGAAGCCTTAACAGAGTCAGTCAGGTTTCAAGTTGATTTTTATCTTAAAAGTATAAATATTTTTCATCTTACAGTTTTCAAAATTCATATGCATAACATCTAGGACCTCTTAACCCTTTTACCCTGGACAAGTTAAAGTGTACATCATGATGTTTTATTAAATAACTTTATTACTACTTATGTCAATGAAATTAGCATCAAAACATAGTTTATAATTTTAATTTCTTAATTTAAAAGGAAATCTCAAGAAAAAAATACTAAATATTGATTTTTGTGTGTCTTCCTTTTTTATTGCCTAGTTTACATTTTACTACACCTATACAACGTATACAGTGGCTTACGAATTAAAAACTCAAATATTGAGATATGGACAAACTAAATATAAAATAAGAACCTCCCATCTCTGTGATCTATTGAAATGTCAATATTTTTAGCCAATCTACTAGAGTGGTTTCTCCCACTATTATGTTTTTATTAAACCTCTTATCTGGTCCCACATACTACTAATTAGGATATGTTTATAGCCAATTGACAGATCAGTTTCCCTTCTACGTGAATCTGACAGTGGTTTATAAATAGCTTGAAGGAGAAAGTAATCATTTTGCCAAAACTGTTGAAGTGTGATGACTAAGTCGTTGCTCTGTACAGGAATGGGGTTTTTTTGTAACCCTCATATAGCTTATTTAAAGACCCAATTAAATAACAGGGATTTTGTGTGTACTAGTACAGTAACTTGATAATTTTTTGGTTTCCTAAAATTTATAGTTCAATCTACAAAAATCAATATCTCTTCACCCTTCACTTGGAAAAATAAACAAGGCTTACAGCAAGGCTTAGCATGTACAACACACGAGTGTGACATTTCCTAACACCCTAAGCATGCAAAATCTTTATTTTTCAGTGTATTTTTGAATTATTGTCCTAATTTAAAAAACACAACTAAAATCTAAACGTTTATGAGTAAATTGTATTATATATATATATATATATATATATA